TGTATATGTATATATGAATATATATGTGTATCTAATGAGACTGGAGGTTGTGTGTATAACCCTTCTGCTAGTTTCTTTGCAGTGTTTCCCGGGACCTGTGTGTTTCTGTCCCTTTCTAGGGTAGGTCTTCGATGGGCACCCCTCTCTGCTGGGTTCAGAAACCGGGTGCTCGACTTGCAGTGCTTCACTCGTCGATATATGTCCAGACGATAAGTAAGCCAGTCGCCGGCCAACGAGTTGGTGTTTTTTCAATGTATGCTTCAGACACGGGTCACGACGAGGCGTTCCCCATAGCGACCCCTAGAGGACGCAGTGTCTCGTTCCCTACTCAGGGAACCATGTTTACATAAGTAACCTGAGACGTTTTTTCCCCCTCACAAGAATACCAACATGTTCACCTTCTCTGGTTTAAGAAGGGGTCTTTTACTTTACTTAAGCGTGAAAACCATCAATATTCGCGTCATTTTTGCTGAGCGCACCTTCTGCAATAGTAAATATAACCAAAATAGGTTATTATAATTTTTATATGAATAATAAAATAAATATAAGGAAAACTCGCCTACTCGATTTTGTAATATTCTTTAATTTTGTAGTCCGTATGAAAAGGTGCATTTCTATCAAAGGTACGTCCATGTGGAGATGGCGAGTCAGCGTCGGCATTCGGCAACCTCATCTTTGCACCCGACACTGCACTAGTTTATTACAAAATAATTAAAATGTCTTCTTTTCCCCCGACACGTTCATAATCACTTTGCTGGTGCTTTGAGGCAATTGCTTTTTGCGCGAGCTTGAGCGCGGAATAGTCTCTAGCGTACACTCTTAAAAGAAATGGTTCTATTTAGAACCAGAAATGGTTCTATCACCCGCTTCATATATGGAACCCCAAAATGGTTCTATATAGAATTCTATATTCTATATAGAACCATTTTAATGGGTTCATTAAAAAGAACCCCAAATGGTTCTTTGAATCCAAGTTAGATGGTTCTTTTTAGAACCATTTAAGGGTTCTTTATTATTTAATAAGAAAATATAACCAATCCAGAAAATTCAAAAAGTTTAAATTTATTCAATTTATTATACATTTATTCAATTTATTATACAAAAATAGTGTCATATTTAAAATTGCACCTCTGTATATTCTGTATTAGACTGCAAAACTTTAAATTATTTTACATTTAAAATGTGTAATTACATTCAACCATTTAGTTTTAATTATTTCACGCCAGCATTTTCACTTTTTAATAAACATACATAAGCTTGTTTAAGTACTGTATGTACGTATACAGTACTTAACTTATACATGTATCTCTGAAATGAGGAAAAACAAATCAATGCAGATAAAAACAATACATGAACAATTAAAACATCTACTAAATGGCACTACAATTTACACAAGTTGACTTTACATTTTAGTACAGGTATTGTTGTTTTTGTGTCATGGCAACATCTAAGTTTAAGCATATATTTTTTTATAAAAATCATTGTGTGCTTAATGGTAACCGGGTATTGCACATTGAAAAGAAAATAGACTGTATATATATATATATATATATATATATATATATTAAAAAATATATATAAATATATAAAAGAACGTTATATAAAATAAAATACTTCGACGCTTTTATCCAACGGGACTTACTACATTGCGTTCAATATATACATTTATCAGTATGTGTTCCCTGGTATACCCTTTTGCATTGTTAACGCATTGCTCTTCCAAATGAGCTATAAGAATTCACAGAAATACAATATACACTGATTTTCTTATCTTGCCTGGCACAAAATGTAACAGTGTTTACTCACAAGTTGTGGCACTCCAAGAAAAGGAAACTGCTCCATTACTTCAGCTGCAGGCCTCTCCATAATCTGTACTCTTTGGAAAAGAGTGTGCTTCATTGGTTCTTGACCTCAGAGTAACTGGGGTTGCTTTTACGCAACTCCAGGGTGATGGCATTAATGTGTTCCCAGAAACTTGTCTCATCCTCACCAGGACTTCCAGGTCCAACACAATCTGAGGTAGGAAGACAGCATTGTGCAGTACGTAAATATGAATCAGTCACAGAATATTTAAGTTTGAAAAATCAATCTTAAAAACTGAAGGAAAACTAAACCAAATACCTCCAGTGAACAAACAGAATCATTATATGACATTATATCCAATGATTCTCATTCTACATTTTGCGTTTCATTTTAAGACAAATTTAACTTGCCTTCGACATACAATTTATTGAACCGAACTTGCCTTTTGTTGTTGACTAAGTCCCAACCTGTTTGACATTTAACTATTATAAAATACAATGAAATACAATACTGTACCAGGTGTGCCTGGTGATGCTGTCAAACAACAATTTTGCAATTCAGGGGGAAAGACAGGCAGGTTGTATACTTCTGGCCAAGGATGGGCAACAAATGAGTCACAGGGTTCTTGTCTGTAAACATGAATACAATGTTGAAGTCTTTTATACAGGATATTCATTTTACTTGCCACAATACATTCAGTTTGGACTTCAAAACTATGATACATACTGAGTACAAGATATCGGAGGCTCGTCAGTTTCCAGGCTGTTTAAAGAAAAATAAAATATAAATTAAGATAAGGATTTTAAGCTTAGCTGGCATAAATTTGTTTTATATTTAACAGCAATGTTCAATATTTAACAACACTTTTTAAAATTAAGCTCCTTTATAAATGTCACCAGATGTTTCATTACAAGAAAAGTCTTTCCACCATCCTTTCTGTGAGACCCAGCAGAGTCTCCCCATCAATTCGCTGCTCTGTAAGAAATAATAATAATAAAAAAAGTTAATATTCCAAAGAAGAAATAATTGATAAATAAGAGAGAGACATACCACAGAAGTACAATATATATACCTAGAAGACTGCATTCTGTGATATAAAATATCTCTCAATGTTACAGGTAACACTTGAATCTGCTTGGTGTTAATGTTAATGTTGCACTTGCAGGTGAGATGAGATACTTCGTGAGTTGAAACTTCCCAACATCACAAAATGAACATTTATACATGTTCAGGTACAAAATAAAGAAAACACCTGGTTAGTTTATTTATTTCACAAAATGATCAAAAAGGCAAACTATAATGTATTAGGAAATATAAGTTTCATGCTAATGTACAAACTAATGTACAAACTTGCATAAAAAAAAGATCAAATCAAGATAATATTTGTTGACTCTCTTGTTTTAGACTACAGCAGTCATTCTCCTGTATCTTGACTCAAAAAGCTTTGTGAATGTTTTGTATATGCTTATAATTACTGTGTAATCTTTAGTTTACACTTCAGTCATAAAACATGAATTATAGAACCATTTTAATAAAAAAGGTTCTTTGCTCTCCAAGGGTTCTACATAGAACCATTTTTTTTGGTAAAAGGTTCTATTGGCCAAGTACAGAACCCCAGGGTTCTATATAGAACTTCAAGGAACCCTTTTTTTAAGAGTGTACGTCTGCCTATAGCCTATATTGAAGTATGGTTAATATGTTATTATATTAATCAATTTAATATAACGTGCGACTAGTTGACTAGAAAAATCTTTAGTAGAGGGCAGGCCTACTTAGCACAAGGAAGCTCTCTGTTAAAATGCTATAGCCTAATGACATTACAAAAAGTGCGACAGCTGCAAATCACGTCGTTATTGCACTGCACGAGTTATGCATGCGTAAGGAGTCAAATGTTGTTGCTGTTTTTTTGTTGTTTTTATCACCCTAATTAGATTATGAAGAATGATTTGTTGATCTTGTTTTTCCTTTAATACATACCTTCCGCAATATATTTTTCAATTACTTTCAAAAAGTGGTAGACAATATCGACCCTGGCAAAAAGTGGTGGGGACATGTCCCACCCGTCCCACCCGCAAATTACGCCTAGGCCT